AAACCAACATACTGAATGTGATAAACTTGGCTTCATTAAAAGTGTCTGGTAACTTCCTGGCAAAAAAGGCCATGGTGAAACTCACCATGGCCAAAAAGCCCAGATAGCTCAGCACACAATAAAACATAGTCACAGAACCTTGATTACATTCCAGAACAATTTGATCCTCCATTGAGTGCATGTCAACATCTGGGAAGGGGGGAGAGGTTGACAGCCACAAAGTGCAAATACCTATCTGAATAAGGGAGCAGAAAAGAACAATGAAATTGGCAAGTCTTTTCCCCACCCATTTTCTCAATACGGATCCTGGTTTGGTGGCCAGGAAAGCCAGATTGACGACGATGGTTTTTGCCAGCACACAAGAAACAGCCACTGAGAAGATTATACCAAAAGTGGCTTGACAGAGGAGACACGAGACCTTCCCAGGCTGGTCAATAAAAAGCAAAGCGGATAGAAAGCAGAACAGGAGGGAGATGAGGAGAGCGTAGGTGAGGTCCCTGTTGTTGGCTATGACAATGGGAGTCTTGTGGTGCTTCAAAAATATTCCATGCGTGGAGGCTGTAATCAGAGCAAAGGAAACAGCAAAGAACCCTAAACAAAGACCCAAAGGTTCTTCGTAAGAAAGGAAGGCTACAGTTTTTGGAATGCAGAAATCCTGGGTCTTGCTTGGATAGTTTTCATCTGCACATTTATAACAGTCATTCATATCTGGGAAAAAAAAATATTTTGTAAACTCGCTTTCTTATATAAAACTGTATTAATATGCCACTGTATTACCAACTTACTGATCTGAAGAAGAGCCATGATTTTTTATTAATACCACATTTCAGATCTGGTCTTCTTAAAAAAAATAAAAGTGGTTACTAATATTGTAAGCAAGTATAATTTTGTATTTTCTTTACAATTTTTCTTTCTGTGATTTCCTTCTGTTTTCATTAATATGTTTGAGCAATAACACTTTAATGAAATCCTGGGTGTTTACCATTTATTTGAATAATTTAATTTATATGATTCATAATTCATGTAATGCAAATATTTATCAGTAGTATAGAAAACTATGTCACATTTAATCAATATAGCGAAGAGTCAACAGTTTATTGCATCAAATAATTTGCTAAATTTCTTTACTTGAACAAACTTATTTAATACATTGGCATGCCGATTTGAATGGGCTTTTCTAATCAATACCATTTTCAAATCAGATTGATTTGTTTAGTACGATAGGATACAGCATGCATATCTTTATTTTTTGTTATGGTCTCTCTTTTTTGAGATATTTAATTAACAAAAAAGTTAAAGAAAGTGTATACAGTGGAACCTTGGGTTATGAACGGTTCTGTTCACGAACTTTTCGGGCGACGACCAGCTCCGGCTGCAAAATTTTGCTTCGGTTTGCGAACTCCGCCTCGGGTTACGAACAGGATATGCGGCCATTTTCCCTCCCATGACACAGTCCGCGGCCATTTTCCCGCCCGTGACACATGGTCCGTGGCCATTTTTCCGCCCCTGACACGTGGTCCGTGGCCATTTTTCCGCCCCTGACACGTGGTCCGTGGCCATTTTTCCGCCCCTGACACGTGGTCCGTGGCCATTTTTCCGCCCCTGACACGTGGTCCGTGGCCATTTTTCCGCCCCTGACACGTGGTCCGTGGCCATTTTTCTGCCCCTGACACGTGGTCCACGGCCGTTTTCCGCCCCTGACATGTGGTTGTAGGGAGGGGGACTCTCCCTCCAAGCAATAGCCACCTCCCTGTCCTTCACAGCAGAATGGATTAACGGTAATTACATTGAACCTTATGGGAAAATTTGTTTGGGGCCGCGACAAATTAAGGTCGCGACCAGAGTCGCAGAACAAATTAAGTTCGTGAACCAAGGTTCCACTGTACATAGGTTGGAAAGGTCCTATTAAGTAAGCAAGAGTTCACTTCTGAATCAGTTTGCACAGAATGAGATCTACAGTTTTTCCTGATTTGAGAGTCACCTATAGCACTTGAATAATATGTTAGAAGACATCCTCCAAAATTAATGGATGCGGCCAGGAAATATTTCCTTGAATGGTAATTGAAATTAAGTATAATTCAAATGATTACACTTCAGTCATGTATTAATAACTTTTCCTTTCTCTCAAAACTTCTAATGCAGTAACAGACTTTGAAGATTCCAGAACCTGTACCCATATAGATGCTATATGTGGCTCTGAGGTCTCAGGCTGTGTACTATTTCACTCAGATACAACTATAGCCACAGTCCTTGGGAAAGGACTATAGGATTTACCAACTGTAAGCCCCTACCCTGCTCTTGTCAGTAATGGTATTTTTTCACTATAGGAGATTCTGATATCAATAAACCTTCAAAGAGGAGTGAAAGGGAATGGCATTACAGGAACTTAGCACATACAGAATCATTGAGCCTTTTGCCAAACCTGGTTCATGCTCACCTGGCTGCCAGATGCCTTAAAAAATAATTCAATTAACCTTGTAGGTATTTTTAAGCTTTAAACATAAAGTGTTTGTAAGTCAACTGTGATGATAAAATTCTACTATCATAGTTCTTCTTCAACAGTGAACCATGGACACCTCAGTCAATGAAGTATTGTTCAAAAACAATCTGACTCATAAAATATTGCAATAATTAATTATTAAATGCTCACCATTTGATCCCACATTAACACATCACAAATTCAAACATGATGTTTAAAATGTAAAATAAAATCCTATTCTATGTTGTACCCATTATGACTCATAAAGGGTGTATTAAGACACTTACCCTTTTTGCTTGAAATCTTCCCTTGAGGACATGGGATGCAATCATAGCAACAAAATGGCTGGCCCTCCCTCAATTTCTTCCTGGAACCTGGAGTGCAACTCTCACTGCAGAGAGAGACAGGATGTACCTAATCCAACAAGGAGAGAGAGAGAGAGAGAGAGAGAGAGAGAGATGAGAATAGTGAAATGTTCAATGTGGAATTCTTTGGAAATATCTTAGGAGCTAAATTTTCCAGTATTGCAACAGGTGATGAAGGGACACATCGTGTGTATTTCCCAGTTTTTTGTAAATGAAATGGGAGGGAAAAGGGCAATAATATCTCTGTTTCAAACATTCCATCAGAATATGTCCTAAGTGATAATATATAATTATTATTCAATGTATAATCTATAACAAATTATTAACATTTCACATTGTGTGTTTGTATGTATGTACATATGTGTGTATGTGTGTGTGTATTTGTTTGTGTATTATAATCTTATATTATAATCCATATCTAGAAAGCAGAAATGGTATTTCTAATAGTTGAGGAAGAGAATGATAAGGTAGACAATCTGAAAAGTATTTTGTTGTTGGTTGTATTCTTAAATATTATTAGAGCCCACCCTTTGAAATCAATAGGATTTCATTTACACATTAACAGTTTGAGTTCTATGGAAATGACTAAGTCTAGCTGCAGCCCTGTGTTTATAATACATGCATTTTTTTTCTTTATTGAAATTATTGATTTACTCAGTGCAATCTACTTAATAAAAATCTGCTATGATTTTAAAAATATTGAAATCAATAGGAATCCAATGAGATATAATTTTCTTTTTCCAGCTTTCCTGCTGCTATTAAAGGAATAATCAGGATAGATACTTGTTGATCCTCAGTTGTTTCATTATGTGTCTGCTGCTTTGTGTCCTAACGTAATGAAAGATGCTATCCCAACAGTAAAACAGCATTCATTTTACATGGTACTGCAGAAATTCAGCTTTCTGCACTACTACGTAAAATGCACACTGTTGGAAGTCCTGAAAGACCAGGTTAGGGTTAGATTGTCATGGAAAAAATCTATGTCATCACTAGGAGTCAAAAACAACTTAATGACATATAATCAATCAATTAATCAATCAATCAGTCAGTCAATCCAAAATGTATTGTATAAAATGTATTATAAAAGTTTAACCTGATTAAACCAATTGCTCCAAGTAATAGCATCCTCATTGATGATGAACACTTTGCCTGAGGTGGCCTTGGGATCCACTCTCCCAACTTTCACATGTTGAAAGGACTGGTTGAAAGAAACAATCCAGTTTATCACATCAAATCCAGACATGGATTCTCCATTGTGATTGAAAAAAACCTATCCCCAGCACTGTTATTAAAGGAGACCATTTTCAGGTAATAATGGAGCTAGATGGAAGAAGGAAAAACATGAACTTAGAAAAAGTTGTACTTGTGTATTTAAGAATAAAATTTCTAATGGCAGAAATGGAATGAAGACATGACTGGAGAAATCTGTTAGAAACAATGTTTTCAATTTATGAGCCAGAGATTGCTGAAGGGAACACTGGATAAATCAGAAGACCATAACACTGTTTTAGGGATTTTTTGGGGGGAAAAGAGTCCATATTTTTCTAGAAACTTATCCAATTCAATTTTTTGAATGTATGCATTGACTGAAACATACTCAAATGTAAATCCCTGTTGATGATGATGATAAATAATAATATAAAAAATTAAATTGTAATCTGCACATACCCCCCAAAAAGAGCATAAAATGGAAAAAGTGCAAATGTAATGCTTACATTAAAATCGAAAAATTAAAGGAAATTGCTAACAAAAATAGAGGTATGCTTATGAAGATGCAGGTGAATTCTCATGTTTCAAAAGAATTTGTCTTTGTTTCAAAAGAATTTCAGAAAATGAATGTGAAAATTCATCAAAATGAATTCACTGTTGGAAAACTGAAAACTGGGGGGGGGGGATGGAGTTAATATATTTTCATATCGCTATAGAATGTTCCCTAGGCTTACTATGATTTCAAACATGAATTTAAATTGATATGAATAAATTGATACAGCAGAAAAAGATGAAAAATAACAGTGCAGAAATAATTTTCTAAAGAAAGTGTTCTTTACAGTTTAAGAGCTATTCATATAAGGAAAAAAGTCATATTTGATCAGTTACCTGCCAAAACTCTTGATGTTGTCCCTTCCATTTTCCTTTGCCCACCGTTATGTTGTCTTTGGGTCTGAATAAGGACCTGTCTTGCAGAGCATGAGCTACAGCATAGACGGCATTGTAGATGCTGTAACTATGGCCGGTCATGCTCATTTCAAACAGTGAGGCAGGAAGGCTCTCCAGCTTCTTCTTCCCTGAACAAATGTTCTTCCCCTCATCACCTTCATCTGTATTTGGGAGCCTACAGTTGAAGGCAACTTCCCAGAAGGTCTTTATGAAATCATCTTCAGGTACATGAAAAGGATTTTGACTCTCAAGAAATTGATGAAATCCTGGTATGTAATTGACATGAATTGTGAAAGCTAAGGAACCATGGAACAATTCTGCATTCCAGTCCTTTTGATAGATGAATGAAATTTGTTCTACCTGAACTGTCATTATCCATACTTTTCCTTGTAGTGTTTGGTTCTCCATTAAAATTGTAAGCCATCTAAAATATGCCATAGAATAAGATTCTCCATAGGCCACAATGGCATTTGCTTTTGTCTGCACTAGTTTGTGGCGTATCTTTTCTCCTTGTGCCATCATTTTATCAAATGCAGTAACATATCTTAGTGTAGGGATTCTTTCAATGAGGCCAAAACAAACACCACTTTGGGAATACAGTGGAACAATTGTTTGTAGGACTCTTTCTCCATTGTCATTATCCATCACAATGACTCCAACCCATGTCCATCTGAAAAACAGAAGCAAAGCGAGAATCCCCTCATACTGAAGGTCTTCCCTGGGAATCATCTGGTAGTAAGAAAGGCCTTGGGCTTCATTATTTCTTTCAGGAGCAGGACTATAAATTAGCTGAATAAGAAGAGATTGGAATAACACTGCATTCTGTTTTCAAATATTCAAAACATTTTGAGTGTATTATACCAGCAGCCTGGACAAAACTCTATTAAGCAATTAGCATGATTGTTCTTATGCTCTAGGTTGAGACTGGAGTGTAAGACAACATTGCATCTTCTCCTAAAAATGTTAGATACACAACGTTGTGGTTGTGATGGCTACCGCAATGTCAGTAATTGTGCCATAATTTAAAAATGGACTCCTATAAAAGGTATATTGCTTTCTTGCATTTCATTTATGTCCTACCTCCCATTTATGTGATTCTACATGTATTTCCATCCTTTTAGGTGGTTCTTCTTCTGGGACTGGAATGTTCATTTTCAAAAACAGGATATCTTCTCTCCCAGTATCTGAGTAATATGATGCTTTGTTGTATTTTATTTTCAAAACTACTTCTCAGGATTGTTTTTGTGAGGAAAATTTGCAAGAGGGTACACTTGGTATACCGACAATTAGACCTTTCATAAAGGAACATCCAGGCAGACCTGTTAATTGGTATACCTTCTTCACCCTGACAGACTATAACAGCACTCACAATGTAGCCAAATTTGGTCTGGCTACTATGAAAATAAGGCAGCAAACATTTTTCAACACAACTGTACTATTGCCATATTTTTAACTTTAACTCCCATCTCTAACTTTCTTTTCTTTCCACTTCCTTTTTATTGTTGTTTTAATGAATTATGGGGAAAATTATGTATAAAGGTTGGTCTACAACCTTACTAAAGCTATGCTATGAATTTGTGTCCCATCTTAATCTCCAGGAGCAAATAATGAATAATATATACATTTGTAAATAATAATAATAATAATAATAATAATAATAATAATAATAATAATAATAATAATATGTAGGGGTATGTAAACATGAGCAATGTACATAAAATCTAGGCATAGGAGCCGGTCTTTGCTTATGGAAAAAAATGAAACTACTGATCTCTACTGTAGACCCCATAATTTAATTTGGCTCTAATTTTAAGTGCATATATTTCAGTCTCCAATCCAGAAAATAAAATCTAGATATATAAACACACATGCCAAAGACACAAACATACTGAGCATATACACAGATTATCAACATATGCCTTACCTGAGGAATTTTGTAAGTATCTAAAAGAGTTGCAACATGAAGGGAGGTTTCGGCATCAAGACCGCCAATGACTGCTATAATGTTATTCTGAGTATCACATGAATAGTTGGGGACAAATCTCTCAAAAGATGATATAAGAAGCATGGTGGCATGATATGTCCGCTGTGCATTGAAATAGCTGTCATAAATGCGGAAACCCACGGTGAGATTGGGTAAGATCTGAGGGGTTTTGTTGATCTCCTTTACTGCAAATGCCAAGGTCAGGATATGCTGGTAATTTTTAAGCACTACACTAGGAAAAGAGTTGCATCTCATATAAGAATTCACCTTAAAAATGATTGTCACTGTCATTCATTAAATCATCTTTACTAGAAATAATTATTACATTTTAAGCTATCTCCTTTTAATGGAAACTTTAGCATAAGATAGCCTACAAAAAAAAAAAAAAGATTAAACAACTAACAATATTATAGTTCCTCCTCACAGTACTATATTTATACTGAAATGAATATTCTTAATTTGAGGATGATTGATTAGCTGGACATTGTGAGGTAAAATACTTTTCCATTCATAAGTTAGTGTTATACTATTACATGCATATTCATTCATTAAATAGGCTGTACTGCTAATCAGTTATTACTAAATAGGACATGGGGAACCTATCCATTTAGAGTAGAGTGATAAGAGAATATGATGAGAACAAGGGGAAAAAAACAAAATAAAACGAATGCACTTAAAATTATGGATGGGGACTTAAAGCTCATCCTGACTTGTTAATTTGACAGTTTACATTGGGGAAAATCACATCAGTTAAAACTATCACCATATCCCAAATAAGGTTTCTCTTGTGGAACTGAAGATCTTGCTTGCTTGCTTGCCTGCCTGCCTTCTCTCAACTTTATTAAAACAAATAGCTCCTTACTTGAAATCACCCACTGATGCTGATAGAGGATATTCTATGAACTCTATTTCATTATCAGAGAAAATAAAACTCTGAGACACAATGGCACCAATTAAGAGGTCTCCTGCCTGATGATACTTGTGAAGTGGGTTATATGAATGATGGGTGCTGCATCTCACAGTGGGTGGCTGGCATGTCACATGAGGAAGCAGCACTAGCAGCAAAAGTGATAATACTGTCATCCTAAGTGGATGGGTTTTTCCTTAGTTTGTCCATCTATACCACCCTCATGAAAATGCCAAATCTAGAATTACACTGGCTTAAGCTGAATGCTTCACCTGAGCCTTAGAACACAACATATAAAGAGTCTGATCTTGCCTAGTCTGTATTTCTGACTATTAGTGGGTAGTTTTATGCCATGCTACGCAGGCTGTCATTAGTTTGGTCATAGCAGTTGCAATTCCATAGAAGATTTGACAGACAACTTTAATTATAGTGATTACACTAAATAAAGTTTGAGACAGGTTCTCCAAACTCACTTGAGGTGATTGTACAAAAAAAGTCCATTAAAGGCAGGGACAATAAACAAACGCAAATGTTATTTAAACCATATACCTAGAACTTCTTCAACGTGACTAATGAATATGCTTTTCTTTTCTTTTCTTTTTTTTAGATTTTTTGTTGTCGTTCAGTCGTTAAGTCATGTCCGACTCTTTGTGACTCCATGAGCCATATCATGCCAGGCCTTCCTGTCCTTCACTGCCTCCCGGAGTTTGCTCAAAAAAATTTGCTAGATTTTGTTTGCAGCCTTGAGAGAAATAACTCAAGGCTGCACACATACCTAATACTCCTTCCTCCTCCTATTTTCCCCACAACAACAACCCTGTGAGGTGAGTTGGGCTGAGAGAGAGCCTTCATGCCTAAGGCAGTACTGGAACTCACAGTCTTCAGATTTCTAGCCTGGTGCCTTAACCAAACTGAATCCCCATATTTCTCTAGTTGTCCCTGAATCCAGACAATTACCTTGAGCAACAAATAATATTTCTCAACAGATTTATCTATAAGGGGGGGAAAATACTTTGGAAAAACCTTTATTTTTTAAAAAAAGTTCCCAAGTTGCCACAATCTTTTCCTACTTTGCCTATTCCCCATTTTTTCTAATCATGGTTTGCACTGAGTGCAAAACTATTTCAGCAAATCAGCAAGAATTAAGGACTGAAGAATGAAAAATCTTATTGATACGTGACTAGTCTTTCAACATTAGAACGATCAATGTAGATGCTGAATTACTTAGTAGACTGAAGATCACATATTAGTTTTATCCTAGGAATGAGTTACTTATAGATTTAGATCTTGTCTAGATGATTACACTGAAATGTTGTCATTCTCTACAGAAACTGTATAGACAGTTTTATGTACATTGTGGTGGTAAAAGGGTTATGAGCTGCATTCACTACCAAACCTATGAGATCCCACCCCCTATTCATTCATTCATTCATTCATTCATTCATTCATTCATTCATTCATTCATTTATTTTTTATAGCTGCCCATTCTCACCAAGTTACTCTGGGTGGCAAAAAAATAAAATAAAATAAAATAAAACAATTACAATAATGCAAAAATTAAAATACTTGTCACAAACAGTAAATTAACCAAGAATTGGATCCCTATACACAATTGGTATATGTGAACTGCTCAAAGTGCCCTCCCCTTCATGGATCACTGCCTTGTCGTGGCGAAGGGGCTTGCGTAACTCAGTGAA